TTTTGCTGCAGAGGCAGCAACAAAAAGGCAGCATAAAAGGGAGTTTTTCCTCTCCACTGTCACTACAAGCATGCTTAGTGTGAGGGATTGCTGAAGAGTCAATGAGTCGATGCAATCAGCTGGTTTTCCTTAGATAGAAAACTTTGAATCAATCTGACTGGATGATCTGGTTGAACTGGAAAGTGACCTGAGATGACATGATGTGAATTGGAGCTATAGAAATAAACTGAATAGAATGACACCCGGCCTGATGGATTCCAGTTTGAGATCAGATTCAGATGAACTCAGGTTAAATTTTGAAGGTTGCTGAGAGAAGAGTCCAGGACCAGCCAGGCTCCCGTCAGACCCACAGGCTGCCGGATGCCACGCCGTGCTGCAGCAGAATCACTATGAAACCAACCAGATGATGAAAGCATGGATGCACCAGGTGCTGCTTATCAATCTGAAAACTCCATCATTACATCGTAAATGTAGCAAATACCTGCTTTAAAGTTTAATCAGTATTACTTTAGGAGTAAAAAATAAAAGTTCCTTTAAGAAATGTGTAAATAAAAAAAAAAAGAGCAGGAGACATTTTTTTTCTGCCACAGGCTTTTATTGCAAAGTGGCTTCCTGTGATCTCAGAAACAATGTTTCACTTTAAGGCTCCAGATGATGATGATGATGATGTTGTTCTTGGGGGGGAGGGGGGGGACTCTCACTGCTGGAGGGAGGGAGGGAGGGGTCAAACCTGCTTCCTGTAGTGCTTTCCTTACAAAACAATAGTGCACTCCAACTCTGGTGTGACGGTTACATTCAAACTGAAATAAGGCGCCAAACAAACAGCTAGTGATGCTCAAACTGAACCAGAACTGAGGTCAAACCATTTGGACATAAAAACAAATTGTAATTCAACGTGAGAAGTTTACTTTCAGCCTGTAGTGTTTAAATGAAAAGTGCTGGACAGTAATGGTTATGCATAGACTGATGACGTGTCGGCCCGGTCGGATGAAATGGAGAGAAAACAAAGGATTACAATAATAAATATTCAGGTAAAAAGCTTGGCGAGTGCAACCCGTTTACAGCAGGAGGCAGTGCTTTGTGGCGCTCTCATCCCACAACAGTGGCTGCTTCCTTCATTTCCACTTTTTGGCAAAACTCTGGCTGTGAGAGAGAGAGAGAGAGAACCTTCCTGGGGTTTGGTAGTGTGGATTTGTTTCTGCCATGTGAGTCAGAGTCACAAGACAACAAATTGGGAGGTGTTTGCATATCTTCATGTTAATGAGATCTCCTTCATGTTTAGGAAAAAAAAAGAAAGCAATAAGAACCAAGACAAAAATATAACAAAGAAGCCTAAAGACGCTAACACCTTCAGGACATGGATATAGACAGAGCAAGCTTCTGGGTGAAGTGACGGTGTTCAGGTGGGGTTGGTTGCTTCGGTCCTGATGGCACGGCGGTTGGCTTGACTCCGCTCGACTCGTCGCTGCGGCGTCACAGCGGCTTGCCCTCCAGAGACACCACCACGTTCCCCCCCAGCTTCTCGGCCAGCGTCCGGCGGTCCTGGATGTCGTCCAGTCCGTTCACCTGCCACTCGTGCTTGATACCTGAGAGGACACGGCCCGTGGTTAGCGCCGCTGTAGCTACCAGATCTGCTCTGATCCTGCTTCCTGCCAGTGACGCTACGCTACATGATTGGCTCAACGTCACATGATGTAAAACATTCTGGTTGCCCAGACAACCATAACATAAAGCAGTGTCAGTGTGTCGAGTCGGGAGACAAAGCAACTGTTAGACCAGAATATAAGGAGCTGGATAGCACTGTGGCTAGCTGTAGCTAACAGGTTAGCCTCTTTTAGCTCGCTCGGTTAGCCATATTAAGCTACACTACTTTAACTTTGCATCAAAAACAACCGTTTGTTTTCTACAAGCTGAATAACTTATTTGACTAAAATCTATATAAAAGTCATTTTTCAAGCTTATCAATTTTTCCTCCTCTACCCTAAGAAATAAAAAGAATAAAAATAAGCCGAGACTTTTTATGTCACCTTATATTTTTGGCTACTGTAGATCACCAATGAAATGTAAAATAATAGCAAATAAAGGTAATAATTTAGAGGTTTGATCCCTAAGAAACGGGAGCAATGCAGTTTGTCCGAGTGGAGATGCCATATGATGACGTCACGAGAAGGGGCGGGGCCCAGAGCAGGTCTGGTACCTCCACCGGCACACGCCCCAGCTTTAGGAATCATTCAACAAGCAGCAGTGAGTCAGGAGAGGCCGGCCAATCACAGCGCTCCGTCTGGACAAAAGACACGCCAGGACAAGACTAACAGGAAGCTGTTTGTCTTTGGGTCAACAAAACATCCCAAAGAGAAAAGAGGCGTAACCTGATAAACTTCTGTTTAGCACCAGAAGATCCAGCTTCCTTTTAACTTAGAAAAATAGATGATTAACAGAATCTGAACACCTAAACACACCCTGATGCGTTCACTGACGGGCTGCAGGAACCCTGGAGTCCTCACCTGTAAACTTCTTTTTGATGGCATCTTTAGAGCTGGCGTAGATCATCTTGCTCTTCAGTGGAGCGCTCTCAGGAGCCCTGTGGAGCAACAAGAACCTGCAGGTGAACCTTGGTCACGTAATTCACCAACAGAACAGTGAAATCGCTGTTAAAGCTGCTAGATGTTGGTTCACCGTTCAGACTGAGCAGCTTCTAACAGTCTGAGGTCAGTAAGAGCAGATGAGCTGAGCTCAGAAAGCAGCGGATGATTGGGGACCCTAATCATGTGAGGAGCTTCCTGTAACGGACCCTGGACCTCAGCAGAGGCCTTAAAGCCTGCGCTAATAAAACCTGCATGGTCGTAGTTCCATTCCCTGTTTCTGCTTTCAAGTCTTTTGTGAAAAAGCCTTTTGATTGAGAACCGGTCGGGTCACATCCATCCAATTAGCTCCAAACACCTCTGATTAGCAGGCCCTAACGCGTTCTGCTTCACATGCAGTCAAAGGTTGGTTAGAAAAACAAAATGGAGGACACCAACAGGACCAGCTGCTACAGCGTCTGAAAACTGAGCCGAGCCGCATCGGCCCACAGGAACGGTCGATGTGGTCTTCTTCCTCGCCGCCGTTTCATCAGCAGATTCTGCTTTTTATTTTGCTACCAGCAGGTAATTCAGCTGAGTAATTATGGCTGCAGCACCATAAACAGAACGCAGGTCATCAAGCCAAGTTGGCATCGAAACAATTTAGAGCAAACAGAGGCTGAAATATGTTAGAAATGTGCTGTTGGTCCAAGACGGCTCTGATGAAGCCCTGCAGCAGAAAGCAGCCCACAGAGCCAACAGGCGGCTGAAACGCTCCTCCACAAACTATTCAACCACCCAGACGGGTCAGAATCAAGCCTCTATAGGCAGAAGAGAAGAAAGACGATAGAGGAGGAGGGAGTGTTAACTTTCCTACAGAAATATGCAGCCATCAGGCGAACCACGCAGCCGCTTCTCTCTCAATCCGTTGCACAGAAGGAAATCCAAGCCAGGCCCTGGATTACATTCCTTTTAAAGCAGCGCAGAGCAGAGAGTGGAAACATGGACACCGGCTCGCCTTTCTGCTCTCCTCTGATTGGTGTTTTCTTGCTGCACGCTGGCCTCATATGTGGGTTTGTGTTTTAGCATGAAGCTAAGCTAATACACGCCGATGCTAAAGCTGACATTAACCTCACTGCTGCGATCAGAAACTCTACCGCCTTCAAGCCACAATCAACACCCTGCAAAAAAATAGAAATCTACATATTTCTTCTTTAATTGAGGAGGAAAATGAGAAACTTTGCAAATGGAACAAGAATATTTACATTTTAAATAAGAAAAAAACTTTATCATTGTCTTAATTCAAGTGCATATTGTGGATTTAACTTCTTTGAAGAGTATAAACGCTCATTCCTTTGGCCAATCATATTATTTACCTACTCAGATTAGAGGTTATATACGCTTAATTTAAGACCTTTTATTTGATCTTTTTTCTCAGCTGTACCGTACCAGAAGATGAAGACGAGGTCCTCCTTCTTGGACTCCTTGGTTTCGTAGGTGGCGTCGTACAGGGCGTATCTACAGTCATTTGGGGGGAGGAGCTTGACGAAGCAGCCGTAGGGATCGTCCACGGTTTCTCCGATATCTCCCACCAGGATCTGCTTCCCCTCCTCCACGATGATCTTCTTTCTGTCCTCACTCAGACAGAACAGCACCGCCTTCTTCCTCTTCCTCACTTCTTCCTGAGTTGAAGACTTCCTCACCTTCATGTCGTTGAAAACCCTGATGACCTCATCGTTTACTGTCACACCCGATGCCTGCGGGGGGGATGGAGGGAGCGGTTAGATGGCTCTATTGTTGTCAACATGGTTTCCATCCTGTTTTTAACCCTTTCACTCTGGCCGTTTAAATCGTCACTTCTTGGATAATTAACCTTTAAAACTTGTGAACTCTTAAAACCAGAGACGCACCAGAAGTGACGATGGAACCAGTATGCTGCTCCACTGGTGTTTCTTAACACCATCAATGCCAGTTTGATCCCAAACACAAAAAACATGAATGAATTTTACAATTATCTTTGCTCCCATTATGTAAAAGCCTGTTTATCAGCGACTGCTGTGTCCAATCGAGCATCTCTGCTCAGAATAATGACCGTTCAAGGCAGCAGGGACAGAATAAAAAACCTGGAGCATAGAGTTCCAGAGAAACAGGGATTAGCAAGAAAAGCTCCACAGAAACAGGCCGGTGATAGTAAGCATGTTATTAATATTAAAACCTGCTGATTGAGGACATGTGGTCACTGATCCTGGGAGGAGGAGCCTCAGTCCAAACTTTACTCCCCATCACAGAGAAACCGCCCGACCTTCTTTAGAGGGTCTAAGCGGCCGATCCCAGAGCAGAGGATGTCAATGAATAACTACTACCAACTTCTACATCACAGAAATGTGAACATAGATCATAAAGGAGCAATCTGACAGTCCTGTGCGATGAGATAAACCTGTCAGTCCTGAGGCCAACGTCTCTGGTCTGATTTGATTAAATGATTAATAATCAGATATCCAAAAGCTTCTTAAAGATTTTTTTTTATAAAAGTCTAAATTGAAACTAAAACTTTTTGCAGTTGAGGAGTTCTGGATAGAGCAGATTGACGGACAAATATGTTTGTTTTTTTTATCTTAAATGCAAAATTTTTACGATTTTGAAATAATTCCTGCTCCGAGTCGCTTCGTCAGCAAAAGGCATATTTAACAGTCTCTATATTCAACGATCACTGGTTCCCATTCATTGCTTCCTTATGGTCAGTTGATTTTTAATGAAATCCCAAATGACTGCAGAGACAAACTACCAAACTGGAAGCAAAGTAAATGACACATGCTAATATTAGCTAGCATGCTATCGCCTGACCACAGCATAACAACTCGTGGCTGGCATGCTAGGTGGAGTATCAACTAGGGCTGCAACTAAAAATGATTTTGCAAATCGATTAATCTGCCTTTTTTCAGTTCATTCATTAATAATTTGAAAGCCAAAGGTTCTTTAAAGAAGGAATTTTAAAGAAATAAACCAGGTGAAACTAAAACTTTTCCACTGTAGTAGTTCTGGATGGAGCAGACAGAAAAATGCAGTTTTTATCTCTTTTTTAAAGCAAAATAGGTAAATATTTCTTATAAAGTTTTTTTTTTCAGAATTCCTGCTCTAAGTGCGTCGCTCTGTCAGCTCATGTCTCTATGCTCCAGTTAACGATTCATCGATTACTAAATGAGTTATTTCAACAACTGACGATTGTTTACACCAGGTATCCACGGTAACCAGGTATCCACGGTAAACAGCACGCCGCTACACGCCGTTCCTTTGATCGAACAGCATCTCTGCTAATTCCTGGATAAACCATAATCTAAGCTACAGAGGATTAGCCGGTATAGCCAGATTATGAGCCATGTTGAAATGAGCTAACATCCTATATTTTATTGTCTGTGGAGCTTCAGACCAACGTCGGCATTTATTTAACCAACAGAGTGGAATGTGATCTCATACAAATCTATTGTAGAATAAGTCCTAATCAACGCCCATCGGGCGAGGCGACCTTTGCTCCATCTGTGCAGCAAACACCACAAAGGGGCGGGGTCCTGCTATTGTGATGTTAAACCATAAGTCAAACATTTTAAATATGAAACGCAGTTTTAAAACTCATATTCAACTGAAATCGACAAATCAAGAACAACTCAGACATCATCAGGTCTTAATCCAAACGTTTGATGCCTACAATGCTCGCAGAAATAGGTCTAATCCTAACATCGTAAAAGTTCCCATTTCCCTAAATCACTTGGATCACAGGAAACCTTGTAAGGACCCACTGGGGGCCCGCGGGCCCCACATTGGGGACCTAGACTGGTTTGCTGATTTCCAGTGAGGATCAGAAACCAGGAAAAAATGACCAGAAGTTCATCAGGAATCGGATCATTTCCTGCGCTCACGTGACTCCACTGAGATTATAAAAGTTATTTCTGAATCTGATCAAAGCTTAACATTAGTTTTAATAGTGAGATTAAACGGATCATCTCAGGATCCTTTAACCGTCCAAGAGGGGCCACCTTAGACCAGTCTTAACCCACAGGCAGCCATCTTTAACATAATCCAGATTTTTGTTAATCTAGGATCCATAGCGAGGAGAGTTAATCTGTCCAACAGACACTTTATCAGTTTAATGGTTATATTTTATAAGGTTGGTCAGTTTTTAGATTTATAATCCAGGACTATGGCCTGTGGGCAATAATGTGAAAAATGATTCTAGGCTGGATTAGATTGAATTGCAGCATAAAGTCAATCCTGGTTCTATTGATGCCCCCCCCCATACCGACTAAAAGCTGCTGGTTTCTGCCTCCATGTTGGTTCTGGACCGGCTGAGCGGAGCAGAACCCGCCGGACTGCCTGCTGACGGTTCGATCAGCCGGGCTGTTCGGCCCAGCAGCACCGCAGCCTGATAAGATGGCCGCCCGAAGCTCCACGCCACGGCCACAGGCCCGGCCCGGCCCGGCCCGGTACCGCTCCCAGCGGACACGGAGCAGAAGCCCGGGTCGACTGGGAATGGATTCGGTTCCGTTCCGAACCAAGGTACCGATCCCGGTACCAGAAGCTTTTCTCCGAGAGCAGCGCGACGACTGGAGGCCGCGGCTGTCGGAGCCACAGGAGCGGCAGCCATGCTAGCTAACAACGCGCTACCCGCGAGCCGCCAGCCGGAGAGCCGCGGGACGCACGCGGCGAACGTCCAGGTCGGGCTGCCGGGCTTCGGTACCGTCGAACGGTAGTTCACCCAACAGTTCTTACCATTTTACTCCGGGATTCTTCCGCACTGCGTCGGTATCAGACGGAGGTGTCTGGAGGAGAAAGATAGCAGGAATGTAGCCGAGCGACCGGAGGAGGAAGAGGAGGAGGAAGGAGCAGGGATCTAAGGGGGCGGGGCTTCTGCTCCTCCTGCTTTATTTCCTTTTTCCAACATGGACTTTGTCTCATGGTGAAACTGATTAATGGCGGCCATCCTGGATCTAAAACCCTCTGATAACTGATCCGCTCCCAGAAGCAGTGAGGTCACTCCTCTAAATGAGGGTTTGGGATTAATCAGGGATTTTAATCACAGCATGAAGGCGCGCGCTCTCTGATAGAAGCCGCTGTGAAGATGAAAGAAGTTAGTTTCACAAACTCATCCCAGAGTTTTATGGTTCTATTACCGCCATAGACAGACAGACAGACAGACCCTCCCCCAGAAACGATAACAGGCTGATTCTAAAGCGCTGAGCTGGGATTACTGTCCTCCATCAGGGGCAGAGTTAGGAAATATGGGGCCCTAGGCAAAGACAGGCAGGGGGCCCCCTGAACTGAGAAGACAAAACATCAAACAGCCCTATTCTCCAGATAGAGAAATGTTAATAGAATAGACATCCATTATCTGTTCTAGGTTGTGTCCCTCTCTTCTTGTCCCTTTTCTTCTTGTTTTCCTCTCTATGTTTTGTACTCAGCTGACTTTTCATGCTGTCTCTAAAGGAATGAAAGATTTTTTCCAAGCACTAAGCTCACTTAGCTGATTGCTCCTTCCTGTGTTTCCAAAAAGGCCAAAGGCTGAGACACACTTAATATTATCAGCGTTCTGATGGCATTTTAGCCAAAGGATTTTTATCAAAGACATAAATAATGTGCAAAAATAAGGAAAGGTTGTATTAACCACGGGGGTGGGGGGGTCTCTGCCTCCAGGTGTGCCAGACTCAGGTGAAGAGCAGAGATGGCGTCTTTGAGAGTTGTATCAGGCCGCCAGGCGCCGCCATATGCGACTGACTGAGGCCTGCAGCTCTTCCGTCCCAGTTTTTCCTAATAAGTCCTTCTGCAGCTCCACAGCATAATGCTTCCACTCCCTTACCTCACAGTTAGGATGTTCTCCATTTCAGAGCCTTTTTTCCTCCAAATGTGACATGGGTCAGTATTAAGAACACAGGCCTTTCTTTCCTGACTGCATCAGAAAACAGCTTTTTCTCCTGCTCCTCTCCAAGTGCCCTTCAATTTAAGACCAGGTCAGAACGAGCCTCCCTTTGACTTTTAGAAATGAATGAAAAAAAATTACTTGGAAAAAATAAGCCCCTTATTTTTCTTGTAAAACAAGCTGAATAACCATAAATATTGCTCCTAATATTTGACTGCTAATCTACACAAACGCTCGCCATACGACTCACACTGACACATAGAAAGGAAGAAATCAATGGAGGGCAGGTTTCAGTAAAAACTGTTTATTTTAACATTAGAACAACATCAGGACAAACTGTCATAAATAAGGAGAGCGAAAAGAAAGTTTTGACTAATAAATACAGAGCAGTGGGGGGTGGGGGTCTGCAACAGCTCCAGTGTAGTGTCTCCAGCTGATGTTAACCCAGCGAACAGACGGGGCACAGCGTACCAAAAACATCAGAACATGGTGCAGTAGTCCCAAACACTCAAACCGCCGCTACCAGAGAGCAGGACACAGCTAGCTTGACCCTTCCCTGCCATCTAAATGGAATGTGAAGAACAAAAGAAAGGAGCATCTTTCCTCCAGGCTGCTCCTGTTTGGCTGTAATCTTTGTTCTACTTCAACTTTAAAACAGCAGCACTTCCTGTGAAAAGCTCGAGCTGCAGAGGTTCAACTAGAAGAACCTGAACAATCGAACCCTGAGCCAGAGGCAGGAGGAAGAACAGCATCTTCAGCTGCTCCTCTTCCTCTTTCTTTATTCCACTGAATCTAACAATTTATTGATTAACACCAAACATAAACTCTTTACTTTCATAAAATCTCAAGGGAACAATTTTTTCCTCTAAACTCACTTGATGAATGAAACTGGATGGGATCTATGGATTGTTCGCTTTATGGCGACTAAAGCGGTTTTAAATATCAAATATATAAATGTTAGGGGGCTCTCCAAAGAAACATCCAGATATTAAAGTTTTAGGAAGATTACATCTCTTACATAAATAGCCAAGTTTAGTTCTTTTAATTTATGCTTCAAAGAGCAAAAAGATTTGGGATTTAAATGGGCGTCTTCATATTTTATGGCTTTCACTTTCATTTCCTTTATGTACATCTGAAAATGCTACATATCTGCTATAAGAAAATAACTCCACTGAATTATGAAATAAACATTTTTGAACTACAAACGGGTTCTGTGTTTCCAGTAGTTTAGGTTTGAAGTGTCAGAGTTTATATTGATCACCTGAAATATTCTGTGATGGAAGGATGTCCGCTTGGACCAACAATCCGTCAACCAAACGACGGCTTCTCGCACACACGGTTCACGCCTATGTACATTTGATCGTTTCGCTACGGCAGCGTCAGAATGCGAACGTTTGTCCCTGAGCAATCAGGTAAAGCCCAATCAGGTGGAAGTTTATGGGTCAGTGCAAAAGTTTCCCAGTGGTTTTAAATGAAACAGGGTGAAAATGAGCAGGGACTCTATCGTCCTACAGCACCATGTTTGGTTGATCAACGCTCCTGTTGACGCAGTGGAAAAGAAATGCCTTGCAGACCACAGAAGAACCCCAAGGCCTTTCTACAAAGCTTCACCTCACAGCAGGTCAACAGACGGAACTCTCCAGTCAGAGCTGCTGTAGATGGAAGTTTTTATATAAAAAGAACATGTTTTATTCCTGTTTGCCCTCTGGGCGCCCTCTCATATCGATGCTTTTCCAGGCCCAGGAGCCAGCAGAGGTCGAGAGGTCACTGCCGGGAGCGCTTGGTGGGCGGAGCATAGCAGCGTTCTCTGAGGCCGAGGCGGCTGAGCTCGGAATGGAAGAACTGCTGCAGGCGGACTCCGGCCTTGGCCTCGTTGGTCTGACGGGGATTATACTGGAGACAGTTGGAGAACATCAACTCCACGTCTGAGATGAAGTCACCTGCAGAGACGAGCAGAGGAAAAAGAACCCTTTACTTCCAGGGG